GGGGGGAGGCAGCAAACAAGGGGGCCTTTCAGCCCGTCCTCCACCCAGCCAGTAGCCCCACCTCACTGGTTTCGGCAGGGGAGATGCCGAGTTAGCTCTGCAGGGAGCCGGGCCCAGCTGTCTCCCAGGAGCAGAGCTTTGCTCAGCCACGTCTCAGGGGCCGAGACGGGCTCCAGGGAGACGGGCGCACTCTACACGTGGGCAAGCGTCGCGCTTCTGCCCAACGGCGCACCCCTCCTCCGAGCTACTCTCGCCGCCGCTCTCCAGGCCCGAGAAACTTGGCGGTTTAAATCTGCTCTGCAGGGAGCCGGGCCCAGCTGTCTCCCAGGAGCAGAGCTTTGCTCAGCCACGTCTCAGGGGCCGAGACGGGCTCCAGGGAGACGGGCGCACTCTACACGTGGGCAAGCGTCGCGCTTCTGCCCAACGGCGCACCCCTCCTCCGAGCTACTCTCGCCGCCGCTCTCCAGGCCCGAGAAACTTGGCGGTTTAAATCTGTTCCCGAGTTAGCAGCTTAAGGAGCTAGCTGCCCCCCCCCCCTCCCCCGGCAGGGAATTCAAGGGCTCAAAGTCCACGGCTGCTGGAGGGTTCTGACGTGCTGATCCCAAGCGGATCTGGGCCAGCGAAAAGGGGCAGTTGAGGAGAGACGAGCCGCCCCACCCCCACCGCAGTGGGCTGGGGAGAGCCGCAGGGGAGGGAATTGGGCTTGCCCGGCTCAGTGGTAACTGGAGACAAACAGGGCCGCCCCTTCAAATTAACAAACTGTAATTTGTCTCCAAAGATACATTTTCCATACACATCCCTCATACACTGTAACCAAAAAAAGCAGTGTACATGAAATAAGAAAATAAATTAAATCCGTAGCATAGGTGAGGAGGACGCTCTAGACTGGAGCAGAGTCGCAAGTTTCCAGCGATACACGGGGCTCAAGAGTTTTGTCTGAATAAGGGTGCCTGCTAGCGAGGGTCCAGCGAGTTCCACGTCAGTCCAACTGCGCACACCGTGTATAACAGCC